TGTAAATTTATTTTTTCTTTACGATTTTATTCTTTCTTTGATTTAATATAAAATAAATATGTATGTTAGTTTTGATGTATTGTGATATATTTAGTATATCAATTGCCTTGAGACTTATTGATATAAAAACGTCACATTTTTAACAGAACTATGCTAATCTGAACCTCGCAAAATATTTTTCATTTATAACATTCATTAGATTTATTATTATGTTAAGTTATATATTTCATATATTATATATTACTAGCTGCCGCCCGCGACTCCGTCCGCGCGGGATTAAAAATAGATGTTGACCGATTCTCAGACCTAGTCAATATGCTCACAAAATTTCATGAGAGTCGGTCAAGCCTTTTCGGAGGAGTATGGGAACGAAAATTGTGACACGAGAATTTTATATATTACTAGCGGACCCGACAGACGTTGTCCTATCTACACGTCTTTAATTTGAAACTGACTGAAAAAAATTGACACTGTAATGACAGTCGGATCCAATGTAAAACATTACAAAATCAACAACTACTAATAAATTAAAAATTAATTAGAAAAACATTGTCCAGCGGACAAAATTGTGAATCTAAACCATTCCCAGATCCCCTTGTACACACACAAAAAATTTCATCAAAATCGGTCCAGTCGTTTGAGAGAAGTTCAGTGACATACACACTCACAGAAGAATTATATATATAAAGATATTTTAAATTTAAATTTATATATTATATTTTAAATTCTTTGTGCAAAGAATTTTAAAGTAAAGGTTATACTAAAAAAATGACCAAAACATATAACTAAATTTAGCTTTCCACAGGTAACCAGAGATAAGTTAAGTTGTAGTGTCAATGACTTATAAAGTGCATTTACAGCATTGATGCAGTATTTTGTATTTTTTTTACCTGCATTATGCAGGATACACACGTTAGGTTTTTCTTAAAATGCATGAAATAATAACATCTGTTGCCCGCAAGAAATGAAAAGAATAAAGTGGTAGCAATCCCGCGTTTCGTCTGATGAGTGTGCGTGAAAGTCTAATTTTAGTACTCCTTCTCTCTCCGCCCTTTTCTTATAAGGAAAGAATGGGAACAGGAAGTGAACTTCATGGAGGGGGGCATAGGAAGGGTAAATATCTTTATGTGGGCCCCCTTTAATTAAAGATATAACATCTGCAATTGCGGATGACTATGGGCAGCAGTCGCTTCTCTACTTCGTTAAATTTAAGTGGCTACTTGCATGTTTCCCACCTTATAATAAAAAGAAAAAACTGTATAGCGTGTGTATGACTGAATTACAATTACGTGTGCTATGAAAATATGACCTTGGTTGACTGGCCTCGTCACCCTTATCTTAGTGTAGGTTTCAAGTCCCTCAGTGGGGACGTATGGTGAGATGATGATGAAAATATTAATTGTCTGTTATCTCTGTAAGGTTTTTATTAATGCAATAAAACCTAACGTCTGTGACTTACATTAAATTTTGGAGCGCTCGTCATATTTTTGCAGTAAAAGTCACGATAGCAAGTTGGGTTATCAGGGTAGCAGAAGGTTCAATCCAGTAACCATGTATATTTTTTGTGTCTGGAAAAATTCAAATGTAAAATTATTGTTTTTATAGAACATAAATTCTTGTGTTTATTTATACTGCAAATACAGACTATAAAGAATTTAAATATAAATACAATTGTTTTAAAAAAAAAGATTTAAGCTTTAAAACATTTTGATTATAAAAACATATTTCTTATCAACATAATAATTTGAATGATAACATAAAAAGCAAAAAATGTAAAAAAAAATCATTTTTTAGATTTATTTTTAAAAATTATTATTGCATCATTAAATTAATGAAGAATATAAATTGTTATCTGCAAAAAACGAACAAAAAATTCATGATAAAACTGGCAGTAACAAAATAAAAAAATAACGCTCGTAAATATTTTAATGGAAAGGGATCTAAAAGCATTATAAAAGCTGTCGCCCGAGACTCCATCCGCGCGGAATTAAAAAAATACTATTGGTCGCAGCGTAATGTTATATAGCCTAAAGCCTTCCTCTATAAATGGACTATCCAAGAAAAAATTAATTTTTCAAATTTGACCAGTAGTTCCTGAGATTAGCACGTTTAAACAAACTCTTTCGCTTTATATAATAATATTAGAAGCAATAATTTTTGTTTTAAATCTAGCGTTATTCTTGCTAACTAAAAGAATTAGTGTCCACCTGAAATCGCTGAAATAGCGAAGTGACCGTTGCCCATAGACATACGCAATTGCATATGCGTTGCCTACCTTTAATCGACGGAGGTAAGGATAAACGAAAAGTCCATTTCCACTTCCCATCCTTTCCTTTTAAGAAAAAGGGTGGGAAGGGAAAGAGGACTAAATTAGGCCTCCGGGACGCACACTCATCAGGCGAAGCGCGGAATTGCTTCCACTTCACGCCTGTCTTGTGTATTCACCGGGCGAGCCGGGCCGATTCGTGCGAAGATGTTAAAGCGGGCTCTACCACTGTTGAGTTTAAATTTAATATAATTTATAAGTTTTTATGACAACCATCTGGACTGATAAAACTAAAAAAAAATCTTATAAAATAAATTAAAATGTGTATACTATTGTAAACTTAACATTTATTATAATACGCAATTTTTATTTTTGTTCGTTTGCTTCTTCAAATAGACATTGCAAATCGCTCATTAAGCTAAATGAGGATATTTGAATTATTTTAAATATATTTGCTTATTCTAATTACTGCAACTGCGCACATTTTGACCTTGTTACCGTGAATTTCCTCAAGCATAATACTCCTCGTCTGCTGTACATTACCCATGTATAAAGCTCCAATCCTTTTATACAAGACTTTTATGATAAATTGTTTTAGACATTATTAGTTAGAGTCCTTTAGCGCGAATGACGTGCTTTCGTTACAAAGTCCAGTGTCAGAATGTTTAGTGAGGGGACATAAACGTCGACAGTTTTGTAAAGCTAGTGTAGCGTTAATACACTGGCACATTTTCGGATTTTCTTCCTAATACTAGTTAGTAAATCATTGGTTATACTGGTGTACATAGGATCTGCCCAGAGTTCGTGATTTTACAGTAACATATATAATTATGAAGCCGGTTGTAATAAAACGTAAATATTCTACTCATTATTTTTAACAGACTGAGATAACAATATTATGTTTTTCTATGTGATACGGCAATGGAAATTTACAGGATTCAAAGTTCTTATTGCACATGTTTCTCGCAAACTATGTATTATTTAAAGCTGAATATTTTTCTATTTTTAGTTTTAAATTAGATGTAATTTAAAACATGAATCATGTCGAGTGATTAAGCTTTGTAGATGGATGATATGCGTAAAATTCTGTTGGGTCGAAGTTTAACATCCTTTTGCTTGAATATTATATAAATAAATAGCTGTCGCCCGCGACTCCTTCCGCGCGGAATTTAAAAAAAACTTAATTAGTAACCTATGCGACTCTGGCGATCTCTTGTGTCGGAGGCCAAGACCCACTTTGGGCCGATGCGCCAGCAAAGTAAGTAGCCTATGTGTTTTTCCTGACTATGTTCTACATCTATGCCAAATTTTAGGGAGATTGAGGCAGCCGATCTGGAAATACCTTCAAACAAACATCCATCCGTCAATCTCAACATTCGAATTTATAATATTAGTATGTATACTTTACTATATTCTTGTAATTAGCTCCTAAGTTGATTGATTATGTGATAGTTGATTATGGGACTGACATGTTCAAAAGAACAAAAGTCCCTATAAAAAAAATAAAGAAAAAAAAATATTAGTAAGATGATTGAAGTATGTATGTAAGCTCCATCTATGGTGACTTATTAAATTCTTATTCTTCTCTTAAGAAATGTTTTTATTATTATTAGCCTACATCGCGCTACTGCGGTGCAAAGTGATCCTTACCTTTCCTTCATAAATTTCTATCCAGAGACTTTGCCGCCAACTTTTACGAAGGAGTTCTAACCCTAAATTATATGAACAAATAAAATTAAACGGATTAAAACAACTGGTAACTTTTATTTCACTAGAATATTAATAACTAATATTTACATGTTTGTTTTTAATTTTCTATTCTCTTCCTCGATTCATTATTTATTATATGATCAATAGATAAATTCTCTGGGCACTAAAACTGTAACAATTGATGATTTTCTTGGTTGAATGTTATATTATTTTCAGTTTTGTTATTACATTTGCGAAACTGTAATATTTATTTTTTTACTTTATATTTTTACGAAAATACAAAACTTTTTATCTACATATATGATTGTTTCGTGCGCAATTCGTGAGCAACGTTAATTTATTATATTAAAATAAATCTTAACACAAAAGAACAAAGGATTAAAAAAGAACAAAATATTATTATAGATAAAATTTATGGCACACAACTCAAAAAGAAAAGATAAAAATATAATGTAATTTTTTATATCATATTTTAGTTATCTCGTGGTTTTCAAAGCTCTGTTTTTTATTTATATTAATGATAAGTAAAATATAAAATATTCAATGACAATATGTTAATGTTATGATAGTGGAAACCCATCTTAACAATTCATAACATGGGGGCTTTACTGGAGGATACAGCATCTAAGTGCAATATCGATTAGCTAGCCAACCTATTTAACCAATTATTATTGCTAATTTAATGATTAGTAACTGGATGACAGAGCTTTACTCTGTTTTTTTTTAATTGTGTTTTTTGGAAATTATATTTAAGTACGATTTACTAATAAAATGATGAAATATGAATAATATTTTTCGATCTTACCGATAGAAAAAGTTAAGTTTATGTTTAAGTTGATTATCTATAAAACACAAATAAAATGATATTTTCTAAAAATGATTCCTAGCTGGATCGATTTATCGCCCCCGGAACCCCTATATACTAAATTTTATGAAAATCGTTGGAGCCGATTCCGAGATTCCGACCTTCGAGCGATTCTTGTATATATATATATATACAAGAATTGCTCATTTAAAGATATAACATAATATACAATTAGTCTAATTTCTTTCAAATATTTACAATCTTATAGGATTAGATAAATTAGCTATTTGGAATCACTTTCAGTTTTTCACATTAGTTCACATTTTGGTAAGTTACACTTTTGTCACCGATTGTGTGACAACCAATCTTGTTTGATCATGTCAGCACCTTTCTCACCGATCATTATTACTGCTGCATTTGTATTACCACTAACTATAGTTGGCATAACACTAGCATCTATAACTCTCAGTCCATTAATACCATACACTCGTAGCCGTGGATCCACTACAGCTTTTTTATCCCATGAAGGTCCCATTTTTGTTGTACCAGATTGATGGTATATCGTCATTGATATCGTTCTTACTTGACATTCAATGTATTCATCAGACATAAATTTAAATTGCTTACAATTAGGTAATGGTTTCATGTAAAGTCTAGAACCGAATTGCTTGAATGGTGATGCGTTTGCTACTTTCAAAGCTATTTTTATTCCTTCCACTAAACGATTAACGTCTAATCTATCTTCATGATATCTAGGATTCATAATTGGATAATCAAAGGGATTGGAACTCTTTAACTTCACGTATCCTCTTGTGTTTGGCCTCAATAAGAGTGGCATTATGGTCCATGCATCTTTATTGGCAATTGGCTTATATACAGTGTCGTATACCTCATCTGTAAGACCTAAAATCTTTCTTACGATTTGCCCATTATCTGATGAGAAAGACGCCGGCGCCATGTGAAACTGTATGTCGGGCCAAAGGCCAGAACTGTTAGCGTATTTCGTATTAACAAAGGCAATACCTTCTAAACCTCCTAAAGTTGTCATCGGTCCCCTTTCATTAATTACATAGTTCATAGTAACTGGGAATGCTTGGAAACGATTCTGTACAATTGCAACTGGTTTATCGACTAGAAATGTTAACCCACCCACGCCAACGTGATCTTGCAAATTTTCACCGACAGCTAAATCTTTCAAAACATTTATACCAACTTCTCTTAAATGGTCTTTAGGACCTATTCCCGACAACATAAGTAATTGTGGGCTATTTATAGCTCCAGCAGATAATATTACTTCTTTTTTCGCGAAAACCACTCTCTTCTGGCCGTGTTTTACAAATTCAACGCCGTATGCTTTCATCGTAATTGGGTTAATTAAGACTTTGGTAACTTGAGAGTTGAGTGATATATCTAGATTTCGTCTCGTTCGGACTGGCCTTAAAAATGCTTTCGCTGTACTGCATCTAGAACCGCGTCTTATCGTTCCCTGTGCGATCATGAATCCGGTCTGCACGGCTCCATTGATGTCTCTGTTCTCGTAACCTATTTCAACTCCCGCCTCAACGAATGCAGCCACCAAAGGTGTTCTCCATGGTGCTTCTTGTACTGTAAGGTAACCACCTCTTCCGTGATATTGGCTCTTAGATAAGTAAGGATTTCTGTTGTCTTCGGACTTTATGAAATATTTGAGTACATCTCGATATCCCCATCCTGGATTGCCGAATGACTCCCACTGGTCGAAGTCGAATCGGTTCCCGCGTACGTAAATCATGTAGTTCAGGACACTGGATCCCCCAAGCACCTGAAAAGTAAACGAAGTACTATTAACAAAAGATACAACTAAAATACCTCGCAAAGGTTACTATTAGGATTTTTTTGCATTATTTTAATTAAATTGAATAAAATTGGTATTTAAATTATATTTTGTCACATCATACTTGATCGCGTTCTTGCACAATAATGATTTTATTGAGGTATACACGATACGTATTACTGCAATCCTCGTCCACCCGGCAACGTCGCGGCATTGACTTGCCGCTGCCTCGGTGTAAGCATGCTAGCAAGAATGACATAACTTTTTGCTAACAATCGTATATCTCTATCCAGCTCCGTCGGCGACGTCGAGGCGGCGACGAGTGGATGCGACGGCGATCGCGAGGCCGGGGAGTGCAGTACCGATTCGGCCAAAAGTTGAGGAGTAGATGTTAACCCTTAAACTACTGAAGCAAGTAATTTACTATTATCAAGTTACCTTTCCTCGTGGCCAACTGCACCTATGATTCTTGAAGCCGAGGCAGGCGTACGGTGTGGGCTCAGTCTTGTACTGCCAGTCAAGTTTCGTCAGCTGCAAGTAGCCCGCCAGCGAAGGCACGTCGGTGATCTCGTTTTCATCTGGACCTGAAAATATAAATTAACGTGATTATTATTAGTTGGCCAAGAAAAGAATAGGACTAGACTAGGAAAAGACTACTTGTAAGATATATTTTTACATAAATCTGGAGTCATTTCATACTAAATATTTTCTACTAATAGTTTAGTGATATTTAACTGTATTTAGATAAATTGATCAGAATTTAAATATCATATTGTGGGAATTCTATCTATTTCTGTTCTTAGAGGCAAATATTGATTCAATATTAAATATATTAATTTTATTAATCCATCGGCTTTTATTAATTCATACGAATACTCACCAGTCTCTAACAGTAATAGATTCCAGTCCTTGACTTCAGTAAGTCGATTCGCGACCACAGCTCCAGCCGATCCACCACCGACCACGATAAAATCGTACTCTCTCCTTGGTTCTTTATCCAGTACTTTAGCTTCAGGGTCATATGAACTGTAATTGTGATACGTAAGTGCTCCAAGTAGCAGTGGTATCACCCACAGTCCAGTAACGCTGATCGTCTTCAGCGCTGTCGAAGCCAATAACACATGGAGACCCATTTTTTTGTTTTTCTAGGATGCCAGTAATATCTTGAAGTAGGCTTTTCTTGTTATTGATTGCTTGTTTGATAACAAAATCAATAGCTTTGGTTTATGTTATAAGACTAGATTCATTAATTATAGAATCGTTTGCTTTTCTCTGTCCGGGGGTTTGATTCTGCGCATTGCTTTCTTATCGCTTGAAGATGGTGAGCGACGAGACAGCATATTAGTCCGCATCGCAATTTTGACAGACGATTATTGAACTCGACTGTCGCGTCTGGAAATATAAGTAGAATATTGTTAAATAATTTATTGTATAAAACTTTGACTGTAGGAATTAGAAATTTAATCTGAAATAATTTTTCCTTGTCATGATATTGGATACATTGTTGGTTTGACTTCTAAACGGTTTATCTTTTGTTGAGTAATAATTATAGTCCAAAAAATATTTTTTTTGTGAATTATTCAATTATTATTTGTCTTTTTTACGCGTATTATTTCTAATCATAAAATTGTTTTAAGTCTTTTTTTTTATATTTTATGTGGTGTTTACAATAAAATCCTTTTTCTGTTTCAGGTATGTAAACTTTAAATAAATAAAATTTTAAGTACGCAAAATTTCGTCAGTTGCAAGTAAAAGTAAGTTAATTATTTTTTTAATTCTAAAAATGCGAATGTTTGTATGGATGGATATTAGTTAGAAGGTATCTTTAGAAAGGCTGAACGCATCTCGCCGAAATTTGGCATAATGTAGTCTGGAAGAACACATAGGTAACTAACTATTATTTTTTAACTCCACGCAAAAGAAATCGCGGTCGACTATTAACAATTGCCACAATTCGATAAAAAAGTCAATATAATTATATTATTACAGCAATTAAATAACAAGTAGTGAAAGAGATTTGAAACATACTGTATATATCTCTGTGTGTAAGAGAGAGGTACTATTTCCTAGCAGTGCGGAAGATGTGATCTAATTCCTAGGCATTACGAGTGACGCAGGCAGCGTGAAAGTGAATGTAGACCACTATCAGTGACAATAATATATTGTTTAAAAATTGTCAACTAGTTAGCTAATCAGGAAGTTTCCTTTTCAACGTTCAAACGACCAGACTCGATTTATTTAGCTTTCAGTAGTTTACGTAATAGGAACTAAGATATAATTCTTCTAAAATTTAATACAAGAAACAGATAAGAAAATTCGTTTATACATCTTTTGTCGACGTCGACTAAAAAACTTTAATAGCTTTTGTTTTCTTCCAGGCTATGTTCTACATCTATGCAAAATTTTATCAAGATCCGTTGAGCCGTTTTGAAGATACATTCTAACAAACATCCATCTATCTAAACATTCGCATTTATAATATTAGTAAGATTAATAAAACTTTTAAATATTGACCAGAGTAAGCGAGTTTTTTATATTCGGCTATTAGTTTAATTTGCTGCAATTAAACGTTTTTAATGAATTAATTTATTGAGGTAACAACATGTAGATTACAGATAAGAACAATGCTTGTATTGTATTCTTCCGTAGTTTTTGGAGCGTGATCTTAGTTTAGGACAGGGGTGTCACACCAATGCTACAATATTAAAACCACTTTGCTGTTTACAAAACACAATATGCAGTACGAAAAAAGTTCCCCTACCCTTTTAAATGTTCCTAATAATCACAAAATCTAAATTAATAAATTTTCTATAGAAAAATGACACTATGATACATGCAGGTTTGACACCCCTGTTTTAGGGCATTGTGATATTTCGTGCGTAGTCGTATTGTTGATGTTTAGAATTACATGTGTATACTCATAATATTATTTAGTTTCGTAACGATAGAGTTTTATATTCATGTTTTTTTTTTTTAATTTTATGTACAATGTATAGTATAGAATGCGGGCCTTTTGTGCACACAAAAAGTACCCCTGGCGACTGCGCTAAAAGTAAAAAAAGTTTACTAATTTTTTTTTACAACTTCCTAGATTTATTTCCAAATTTACATGTATGTATTAGTATTAATGTTCAAGAAATTAAAATAAAATTTCAAAAGTCAGTTATTTGACTTCCGTGACTCGATGATGTAACCGAATACCATCTAAATATTAGGTTACTTGTAAACGACTTTAATGCCAGTAACACACAATGAAAGCGAATTGGAAGCGAAGTTTTGAAAAAACTGAGTACAGAGGGTTTGCTCCACAATTTTTGAACGGTTCTCTGGAACAAATCAAACTCGTGCCATTTTTAGTCGACTACAAAAAGAAGCAGGTTATCAATTCGTCTGTATGTTTCTTTTTTACGTGTGTTACCGCGTAACTCCGCTCCTGGTGCTCATGTTATTTTTTTTGATCGAAACATTTTGCTTGCAGCTGTGTCCCATTTTTTTTATTTTTAAACTAACTAGCAGTTTAGTAGATTTTTATATCTAAAATCGCTTTGCTTCAGCTGTGTGCAACATACATAAATGCAAATGTATCATCACTATCGCGTTGCAATTATAGAATAGGTACGCGTTATGTTGAATTTATTGATAAACAAATCTTATGTAAGAGATAACCAGTTTGTCGGTAAAAATCCGCCGTCTTCAGGTGAAGGTCGTCTATCGAACTTTCGATTGTACACATCTGTGTTGCGACAAAACGGGTCGGTAGAAATGTTAAGTCATCGTAATGTAATTTAAAGTATGTGTTTACACAATTTACTTGATATATTAACGTTGGGAAAATGTAATTTAAATTAACATTAACACTTATTGTGGCAAGATTTTTTTATTTGAAGAGAAACAAAAAATACGCAAAAGCAAAAATAAGTTTAATGAAACTAAGTTAAAAATTATTTTATAGTGATCGTATATTTTTATAGAGTTATATGTATGGTTTACTATACAAAATGAACATAAGGGTTAATGCAATAGAAATTAATACTGGCATAAAAGATTTCTAAATAAAAAAAACCTATTGATATGAAAAATGAAACAATTTTATATATGAAAACATACCATAACAGCCTACAAAAAATGATATTAGAATAAAAATGTGAAGTTGGCATCGGAATAAAGATGAGAGACCTACTTTAATACAATAGATTTTATTCTTCAATCTTATTAATATTATAAATGCGAAAGTTTAAATAGACGGAAGGATGGATGTTTGTTTTAAGATATCTCTAGAACAGCTGTATGGAACTCGCTGAAATTTGGCATAATTATAGAACATAGTCTAGAAGAACACATAGGCCTCTAATTGTGTTTTTTAATTCCACGCGGATGAAGTCGGGGGCGATAGCCAGTTAATATATAGTCGATCAAGGTTAAATAAATTAAAACAAATAATTCCGTGTATTAAGTGACCTTGTCAGTCTCACCAGATTTTTTATTGATATAATATTGTGAAAGGCAATATACTTGAAAACAAAACTCTGATTGGATTTGTTTGATGCATTAAATCTTATATATAAAATTCTCGTGTCACAATTTTCGTTCCTATACTCCTCCGAAACGGCTTGACCGATTCTCATGAAATTTTGTGAGCATATTGAGTAGGTCTGAGAATCGGCCAACATATATTTTTCATCCCCCTAAATGTTAAGGGTAGTCCACCCCAAAATTTTTATTTTTTAGACAAACATGCGGACGGAGTGTCGGGCGACAGCTAGTTATATATAAAATGTAAATTTGGTTTACAAATATTTATGTAAAAGTTATAAAACTTTATCGTAAAAATCAACATTCCGTTAGTAAGAAACTTCGCGAAGACGTATCGTAACCCGGCTAAGTTGTAAAGCGGGTGAAGGCCGTCGAAAACACTTTCTCTGTTACATAAGCTATCCGCGCAATATCTGTAGGCCTGGCCCGGTGTGCCACGACCTTTATTGATAGGTCGGTGGCTTGTTAATTGGAGATATTAACATTACATTAAGATAAAAAAACGGCCATGACCTGTAATGACCTAGATGGGACTTCGTTCATTTCATGTCCCCCTATAAGTTATGGAGCCAAACTGAGATATAAAACTGTCTGATTAATGTGTTAACATTCCTTTTTTTAAGTCGTCCAAATACTCGGTTGAACTTTATTACTTTGGTAATTTGAGTCGTTCGTACTTTAGACCTTCAGGGCGCAAATTTTTATAGGATAAAGTTGCAAAAGAGATAGCGGCCACTTTACTTCGCCAAAATTTTTACGTTACCCCTGCCCATCGTCATCCGTATGCAAATACATCGCCATTGCCGAAAGCGGATATTTCCTTTATGCGTCCTCTCCTCTGCCAAATGCACTCATCAGACAAAACCCGGAATCACACTTGACGCCTATTTTCTGTGTGGTCGTTGCGCCGGTTAAGCCGAGTTTGTGCAACAGATTTTGTTGCTGGCTCCACTATTGTTATAGTTTTATCTAGAAAGTGTACTTCTAGGAAAAAAACAGACATAGTGATTGCGGCGGGGGACCAGCCGCACCCCCTACTAGTAAACACCCTTATATATGGACGGCTTCAGGATATTACAAAGACCTAAGTATCTAAGTGAATATCTAAGTGTATATTACACATTAAGTTCATGTTATGTAATTACATAACATGAACATTACGTGTTAGTGATAACCGGCGATGTAATGTACCGCATATTACGTGCATATTATCGCACGTTTCCATTTTATATAGCATTTATATGTTCATGATAGCTAACAACTTCACTGCACAGAATATGATTACTACGCGTGGGCAAAAACATGATACACAAGTGGAATGACGCATGTTGACTCGCAAAAAGATTTTAAAGGTTTGTTGTGCGTCTTGATTGTAATTTTTATGTTAAATTTAATTGCAATTTAATGAATACTAATGATGTTATGTTCAATTGCGTCAATAACCTTGAAAGTACTTTGAGGTAAAAGTCGATGTCTTTAACTTCTGTTTTAATATTGCGTATAAATTTATTATCTCTTTTTTTAATTACTAGCTGTCTCCCGCGACTCCGTCCGCGAGGAATTAAAAAAATACTATTGGTCGCAGCGTAATGTTATATAGCCTAAAGCCTTCCTCTATAAATGGACTATCTAACAAAAAAAGAATTTTTCAAATCGGACCAATAGGTTCCGAGATTAGCGCGTTTAAACAAACAAACAAAAATACTTTTCCGCTTTATTATATTAGTATAGATTTATTTATCATATTTTTAATATTATACATTTCAAATATAAATTGAAAAATATTAAAAAATATATTAAAAAAATATATATTTAGCATCACTGCGAAATCCCATGACTCAACCAATCAGCGGTCAGGG